TTCACAGTCTACTGCTGCTTTGTATTTGGCTAGCCTAAAACAGCAGTGACTGTAAAAACAAAGTGACTAAAGCATCTCAAGACCTTTGTTCTAGTTCTGCAGCTTTAATATTGTTAAGTGCTTACAGAGCAACCTCTTGAAAGCTTTTTCTCATTGCCTGGAACAGAGTTTGTGTTTCCTTTTGTGTTAACCTCAGAACTCTGATCATAGCACTTCTGCACACTGTAGGTCACAACCCACTAGTGAATAATGACATCATTGTAAAAGGTTGTGACCAGCATTTTATTGTAAAGGAAAGATACTGAACAGGGTATATTAGAAAATACCACATGTGCCATGCAAACTTTTGTTCATTTTAACATATGTTCTGTACACTGGGTTGTAAGGTAAAATGTATTTCTTACTGCAGAGCATGGTAAAAAAGTTTTTGGAAAACACTTCATTGTAACTTGCATCACATCTTCATGTAATTCTGTTTATAAATCTGTCCCCCCTACTAGACTCTGCACCTCTTGAAAGAAGGAATCACATTTTCACATTTTCTTTGTCTTAATTCCTAATACCTAGGACAGATCTTCCTGACATATGCGAGGTGTTCAGTAAATGTGGAATGAATGAATGAGTGCATGAATGAAAGTCACTTAATTCCTCTGAGCCTCATTTCTTTTTCATAAATTAGAATATTACCAACCCGATCTCACAGTGTTATTGTGAAGATCAATTGAGGTAATGCCTGTGAAAATGCTTTATACAAGTGTACAACATATACAACATAATTTTTGTTGTTGGGCAAATAAGCCTCAGGAACTCCAGAAATCTTAACTCATTATTCTCAAGATGGCATATTTTTTGTTGTTCTTAATAATATTATAAGCCTTTTTTAGATTTAGAGTTAGAAAACAGTCTTGAAAAATTGGGTGTGTGCCTTTTTTAAACTTTTTATTATGAAACATTCAATATACAAAGTAGGTCTAGGGAGGAAAAATTTTTCCTCTACCCTTCTAGATTCTTTTAGTTGGTCTGTTAATTAAGCTGACATAATATTAATGGGAGATTAGAAGGTTTAAACAGGAGAAGAACAAATTTAATTGCATAGGTACAGGAGCCCCATAGAGTCATGAGAGGCTCAAACACAGTTAATTGAGGCTTATATGCCATCCTGAGCCAAGCAGAAGGGGGCAGGAGTCTGGGGCTTCAAAGGGGAGGAAGACAGTTCACAGGGAGATGGGAAGAGCAGATGTTTGGTAAACAAATGTGTGTCATACCTTGCAGAGACCATGGGACACAGACAGGACTTAGAACGAGTAGGGTCTGTCAGCTCCTCCCAGCTTTACCACACCTAGCTCACACTGTGTAGTTATCTCTGGTGATAGTTCTCTTCTGGGACGGGGCCCTCTATTTAAATTGTTAGAGGCAGTAAGCAGGAGGTAAAAAGCTCTTCCTGACTCTTCTGGGCCTTGACTGTCTTCAGCTCAAACTAATCCACATGCCATAGCGGCACGTTTCCAGGAGGCTCAGTCTGAAGGCACAGTAGAAGATGGACTTCTGTGTGTACTCATCCTACCTTCAACAGTTGGTTGACTGTTTATGGCCAGTTTTGTTTCATCTGCATCCTCTCCTATGTTCCCTTCCCATCTTACTGTGAAAGAATAATGTATTTCTTTTCTTCTCCTCCTCCTCCCTCTTCCCCCTCTTTCTTTTTACCTTTTCAAGTATGTAGAACTTTTTCTTTCTTGTTTTTTTTTTTTTTTAATTTCTTTTATTTATTTTGGGGAGAGAGAGTTAAGTGCAGTGGGGAGAGGCAGAGGGAGAGGGAGAGAGATACCCAAGCACACACTCTACTGAGCGTGGAGCCCGATGCAGGGGCTCAATCTCATGACCCTGAGATCATGACCTGAGCCAAAACCAAGAGTTGGACGCTTAACCGACTGAGCCACCCAGGCGCCCCTAAAGTATGTAGAACCTTTAACATTCTTTTAAATGAGTTATTCTCTGACAGGAACTAGCAGGTAAACAAGATATATTATTTCCCAAGATTTTCATATGATGGTGACCAAAGTACATTACAAAACATGATCACATTCCAGAGTTGTAACTAGTTCTGGTAGATTTCTGTCAGGGACATTATCATTCCACCAGTCTCCCCTGCTGGAAACCTAGAAATCATCTTTTCCTCTTTCATTTCCTTCATGTAAGAAATAGGTCCTTATAGGTTATTTATTTAGAAAAATCTCTGGCTTTATCTTTTGCTTTTTTCTTTTTTTAAAGATTTATTTATTTATTCCAGAGAGGGCAGAGGGAGAGGGAGAGATCTCGAATCCTCAAGCAGACTCCCCACTGAGCACGGAGCCCAACGTGGGGCTTGATCCCAGGAGCCTGGGATCATAACCTGAGCCAAAATCCAGTCAGAATGACTGAGCTACCCAGGCAGCTCTGGCACCTCTGGCTTTATCTTTTTCATTCCTGTGACCAGGGCATCAGTTCTGATCTTTATCAACATACATCTGGACTATAACAGTTGAGAAGAAATGAACTAATACTTTGTGGCCATGCCATTTTATGTACATTTAATCCTTAACAAACCTGATTATCTGCATGTTTCAGGTTGTGAAAACTGGGCAAGCTCTTACAGGAATATTATATTGCTAAGGAATCTCCTTGCCCTGAGTCTTTCTGCCCCTGTAGTTCATTCCATATCAAAATACCATGATAATCTCCCTAAAATGTAACTCTTGCCTAATAAAAGCTATAATTGCTGATCCAGCACTTTACAAATTATTAGGGATTTTTCACGTTTGATTTCATTTTGCACAAACTACTCCATGAGGTTAGTATTTTATTACTACCTTGTAAGTAACCTGTAATGACTTCTATTTCCCGTCAAACCAATGATAAACTCTTAATATTGATGACATTCCACATTTTGTGCTATGGCTGTGCTGTGTCCATGTAATCATATCTCTCAGTGTGAACTGGAGTTAATTTTAGCCAGGTGAGCTTCCCTATGGTCCTCCTTAGTTACCATTCTCATCTCTTCCTAACGTCTGTTCAGACACAGCTCTTGTCCATGTCACCTGCTTCCCCCCCAGCCCTGTCCTCTCAGTGTGAACTCTACCAGCCCTACGGAGCCCATTTCAAGTCACATCTTTTTGAAGAAGCCTTCTCCAATAATTTATGTCTTCCTATCTGTTTTTTCTTCATGATTTCCTTTGTCAGATATGTTTGCCCTTGAATGTAATTTAAAATTTTTCTCTCTGAACTATAAAAGTAATACATTGCTTCATGTAAAAATATTGTATAGGATATTTAAAAGTGAAAAGATAACTCCTGGGGTTTCCCAATCCCAGTTCATAGAAGGAACCACTGTTGCCTGTCTTTACCATCATATTTCAGTGCATAAACAAGAATGTGTGTGGGCACATATACACACACCTATTTACACATGTGGGAGATAGATACAGATAGATCTATTTTCTACACAGACACCATCCACGACTTTCTTTTTTTCACCTGACAGTATATCTTGGAAATCTTTCCATGTTTGGTGAGTGGAAGTGATTTCATTTAAACACATTGCTTTATTGCCTCATATTGTTTGATGTCAGATCATTTTATGCATCTACATTCTTACCTTCCTTCAAAGAAAGAAATCAGCAACCCCACAAGAGCAGAAGTAACCATATATTCATTCTCATGTCCATTCCTTTGCTCTTTACTCCTTGTGCATTTTTTGGATATTTAAGTGTTTGTGCTGTGGAAAATTAAGGATGTTTGCTTCTCATAACCCCTCAGGCATTAGGATATAGTACGTAAGAATTGAGAAGTGACACAGATTTCTGTTATTGGAAATATGGCCCATCGGGTTATTTGAACAATCCTCTTGCTGAAAACCATCCAAACTGTTGAATATGTAGAAGAAAACATCCTCAGAGCATCAAAGGGCAGAAAATCAAAGGAAATCTAAGGAACAGTGAGAGTGCATGGAGGCTTAAAGAACCAAGCTGCTGTAGCCCTACGGGCATTTACCAATGCAGGAGAATTTGAGCTCTGCCTGCCTTATGGGTAGTAAAACTAAGGAAATGATTAACATAAAATTCAGCATGATGATTTGGTTGGGGGGCGGTGGATGCAGGGAGTTTCTAGGGTACTCCGAACTTTTTATTTATTGACCTGGTGGCAGCTATCCAGGGAAATTTAGTTTCTAAACAGCATATTTATTTTGTGTAATTTTCTATATACATGTCATAATTGACAACAAAGAATTAAATGTAGAAGAATTAGTTGTAAAACAATGTATATAGTACGATCCCACCCATGTGTATATATTATATAAACGGATGCATGCATGTGTGTGTATATCGTAAATGGGATGTGTAATCCATAAATTTTACATGTTGATAGAATATATAAATTTATGTTTGTATACATATATAAATATGTGTTTGGGGCTGCAGGTGTGTGTGTGTGTGTGTGTGTTTCATGTACATAGAAAAAGATCTGGAAGAGTGTTCACCAAACTACTGAGGGCAACCTTGAAAGGTAGAACAGGGGTGGGGAAGTAGAAAGGAAGGAACCTATACTTCGTGCTTCACTGTTGTTAAATTTTTTTAAAGTAATCATCATTATTATTTAGGTCTTTTTTTTTTTTTTTTAATCAGATTTACTGAAAGATGTGGCTTCTGTCTCTACCTGTGAGTATAAAAGGTACTCCCGCTGCCATGCTTCATGCCACTTGGCACAGTACCCTTTTTTTTTTTTTTAACACATATCTTGTTCCTTTGTTAGGCTGGAGCTTTTAAAGGGAACAAGACAATGTTGCGCTTATCTTCCTATTTCTTGTACCTTAAAGAGAGCAAAAGTCTGTAGGCATCCAGGAGATACAACATTTCCTTAGAGGCTCTTTTGAATGTTATTTTGTAGCTGGTACAGCAGTGAGCATACAGTTGGTACAGCGAATACAGGTTGGCTTGACTTTAACTGACACTTTGTGGAACCTGTAGGCAAGTGTGGAGTCCACCGTGCGGTGCCCCTTTTGATCTCAGAAAGCTGGAAAATGAAAATACTCTCTGAAAATTAAACTAAGAAATGCACATCTACCAGATTAAATCCAAGAGAGCCAACGTGAACCTAAGAAACATGAAGACTCCTTGGACAGTAAGATTTGACTATAATTGAAGGTACTGGCATCTTAAAAACTCCCAAACATATAAAATCTCCATCAGAAGAGCATTTTCTCTGTCCCTAAAACAGAGAAAAGGAAAAGCAATCAATTTAAGTGTTGTGATACCCAACCAAGCACTGTCTGACCAATAGCACCTGCCAGGTTGAGGCATGCATCCAGCCTGCCTGGCAGGTGGATAACCCTGTTGTGGAAAGCTGCAGAGCCTCATGCCATTTTGTGCTGGAATCCTGTGTAATTAACTCCACTTGCTCTGCTTCCACGCCCACCAAGCTTCCCTCTGATAATTTGTCTTCCCAAGGAGATAATGCACTATCAGGCTGATGGACATTCAGTAGCCTGAATCTTCTGCTGTTCACTGTAAATAATAAAGTCGCCTTCTTCTTCTTTTTTTTTTTTTTAATACATCAGTGTCTTGTGAGTTTTGTTAGCATGAGTCTGCATTCCTGGGTCCAGTCAAAAGAGATCGGGTATCAGAGTCTGTGAGGCTCATCAAGGTAAATGCTACCTTGAGGGCATCTGTTGGGAGCGGATTGCTGGATTTCCCAGGTGATGCCCATCCATGTCGTCATGCTTCATGTTGCCTTTCCATTCCACACGTCACCAGCATAATTCTGCCCAGAAGTAATCTCTTAAGAACATCTTCATAATGTGCACATTTCAGTTAGAGAGTACCAAATAATATTGTCAGTGAGAGTAGACCCTGTTCTTCTGGGTGAGTATTACTTGTTTGGTTTGGCAAATTTCACACCTGTATGGAGGGATGGAATATATATATTGTCAATGCCACATCATGAGGATCTCTGACAACTCATTTCCAATTCTGGCTTCTCAGCCTCTTCTGGCTTCACTCTGGCTCTCATCTCATTGTCCACATCGATCCTGGCATCATTCTCAAGTCACTTCCTAATCTGGGTCTCTCTTGCAGCAGCGAAACCTAAAGAAGATGGAGGACACAATGAGGTCGACAAGATTAAGGATAAGGATGCAAGTAGAGCAGGCAATGAACGAGGTTATAGAATTTTTTTCTTCCGTTCTCATCTTTCTCTCTCTCCTCAAAACAGCTCCCGTAGCATTTGAAAGGGTTTCACATACCACACATGTGACATGTTCAGCTCATCTATGAATGTAACGGAACTTAGGCCAGATTTCAATAAATCATTCACAGCAATTTCTTGCTAAGAAGGGTATCAGAGTAGATAACAGGGCAAAACCCATTACAACTCTTGAGTGAATCCTGGAATTTTTTTCTAAGTGATGACTATTACCTCAAATAAGACACTGTCAGGTGGGAGGGACTTTACTAAACTGTGGTTTTCCCCCTTTCTCCTATTCTCCTGCTTCCAGCCAGCATGACTGACCACTAAATTTCACCATAAATTTATCAGGAATTTACCCAGAGCAATCCTCAGTTGTCACTACTAGTTAAAATAATATATTTTTATGAATAGATTAAAACCTCACCAAAATTCCAGATAGCATAGATTAATATAGAATCTTAAAAAGATGTTTTTACAGACTTGGTTTTTAAAACCTATTTTTTTAACAGTCACAGTTTTTCCATTTATACAATTGGAGTTCTGTAGCAGAATTACACACTGTTGGATTATAAGTATATATAATAAATTCATGAGGCTTCTATCCATGTACATCATGACAGAGCTGTTCTTATGTGTTGTTAAATGATACGGGGCTGAATTGCTAGACAGGTGGTTGTGGACCATTCCTGATTACCTAGATGCTAATTAAGTAACCAATGAATTCACCAAGCCTTTTGACCCAGTTTGCCAAGCGGCTTTCATTTTCTTTGGATGAAAGATGATGCTGATGCGGACAGGGTCCAGTTTCCAGCCCCTTGTAAGCAAGGTTTGTTTCACAGCCAGAGACATCGTGGACATGAGATCAGTAGCCACCCTGCGGACTCCGCAGTAATGGAAGTTAGGCCAGGTGGCATTGAAACACGAAATAATCAAGCCTATCACCACTCTGAAGTACCTGTCCTACATCTGTGGATTAGTGCAGCATCTTAGGCAAAAGTGAACATTTTCTAAAGCAAACCTTTTTGCTTTGTTTTATGCTGATAGGAGAGCTTACCAAAAGAAGAAAGATCATATTCCCTTCCTTTATTAAATGTTTAATTACCTAGGGAGAGGATGCACATGGTCAGCATTTATTTAAAAAAAAACACCCAGAACTTTCAAAATTACCTGTGTTTTTCAGAACTTACATACATCTTATCATTTTACCAAAGTGCCTGATATAATTTCACGATTCCTCCAAATAGGACACTACATACACTGTACTATGAATAAAGGAGTAGAGTGAGCCAGGGAAGGAGGATCACCTGAGAAGTGGTGAGGGTTTGACCTCCTCTTCCTGCCCCTCCCTTGTCATAAGCCCAGCCAACTGCCTTCCTTTTCCTTTTTCTCTTTCCTTCTGTTGAAGGTGAGAGTCTAGATAGGGATTCACTAGCCAGAACGGAAAAGACAGCTGGATTGTAGAATAGAACTTGTCTTAAGTTGGGTAGCATTATGGCAAGCTGAAGTTTTCAGTTTTCAAAATTATACAGATCTCCTCAGATCCTGATAGACCCTTTGTATGGAAGCCACCCTTTCACACACTGAGTGCATGAGGACCCTGCGTAAAATGGCCAAGGAAACAGAAGTTCCTCTTCTCCCTCAGTTCTTTCCTGGCGTGTGTTTTTCTTCAGCTCTTCTGCAGCTTGAGTCTCTGCCTCTTGTCCCTTTTCAGGAAAAGTTTACCCTAGGGCTTGATGTCATTGGGTCAATCCCTGTGTGTGTCTATGTGTTGTGTGTGTGTGTGTGTGTGTGTGTCTACGTTTTGGTTTTGTTCGTTTGTAATACACTTTAGAATAGTCCTTTCTAACCAAGCATTTCTTAAATTTTTAGGATTGACTGTTTAGGCAGTCTAAAAATTACCCTTAACAAATGTATATGCACATAAAATGTTGGGTACAATTCTGTGGTATTCATGCACTCCTAATGTCTGTTTATGGATCTCAGCTGGATTCAGAATCCCTCTCCCATGATGGAATTCCAAAATTCTCTACTTGCATGGACTCTTGTGGGGTTTGAAAATACATTCATTCACCTGATACCCATTAAATGCCTACTCCATGTCAGGAACCATGCAGGGCACTGAGATAAGGTGAAAAGGACAGTGGCCCACCCATCAAAATTTCCATTGTAGTTGAGGAGACAGACGAGTAAAAAGACGATTACAGTACAGAATAGATGTAATAGTAGGGGAAATACGGGATACTTTGGGGAACACATCAGATGAATGTTTAATTCAGCTTTGGGACATCAAGAAATTCTCCTTACAATGACACCTGAGTTATTCTCCCAAGTAGAAGGAATGCTGTGTACAACATCAGGGGCATTATCAGCTTGTATATTATATTGAGAAATTTGGATTTGATTTTGAAAGGCCTTAAGTTGAGGGGATAAGAACTGATCTGTGAGGAAGATAAGTGACTATAGCCTACAGAGAACAGGTTGGGAGAAGCAGGACTGGAGCCTGGCAAACTTTGGCAGTAAGCCAAGCAGACAATAATAGTGATTTTAACTAAACTACTGACTATGGATGAAAGGAAAGAGGATGAGTGGAAAGAAAATGAATTGGAAACCACAGAATTTAGTGATTGACTGCATTCATTCCTTCAACAAATATTTGTTGTGTTGCTGTGTGTTAGGCCCTCTTCATTCTTTTGCTGGCCATCCCTGAGTCCTTTGAGGTGAAGATTCCGATTCCCTTTAGCTAAGGTGGTGGGGAATGTGTGAAGTTTAATATGTAAGCTCAGGTTACCATCTTGAACCAGAAGCCTATCCAGTACATCCTGATGAATGATAGTGAAGTAGACAAGACGCCATCTCTGTCCTCAAGTCCAGTGGCAGCGACTTCCAGGCTTCTGGAGTGGACCGCTCGGTGGATGATGGTGCCATTTGCCAGAGACGGAACAGATGTGTCTCAGACGAAAGGCCCTGGGCAGAAGTGCTTCTTCAAGCTGTAAATGCCCCTCCTGAAGTTTCAGGATATCCCTGTAGGTGAGAATCACCATGCTTAATGACAGATGCGTTGCTGATGGGAGAAAGTTTCTACAGAAACAGTATTTGGGGAGGGGCCAAAGAATCACCGATAGAGATGGTAGTTGGAGCCAGGAAGAGTATGTTGAATGAGAGGAGGGGGCTGAGGTTTGGACCTGGCAAAACCACAGAGAAAGAAGAGGAATCCGATGAGAAAGCCAAAGAGTATAGAGAAAGTAAAAGATGTTCCAAGATGGAGCCTGAGGGACAGGAGGGAGGGGTAGCCGTGTGGCAGCCACAGTCCACTTTCAGGGTGTGCTGGATAGGCTTCTGGCTCAAGACGGAAGCCTGAGCTTGCATGTCAAACCTCACACGCTCACCACCACTTTGGCTAAAGGGAATCGGGAATCTCCACGTCGAAGGGCTGAGAGGGGGGCCAGCAAAGAACAATGAAGAAATTTTATGCCATGTGAATTCTATCTCAATAAAGCGGTTATTAACAAAAAGAATCATGAAAAATTCTCTTTTAAATATATTCTAACATAATTGTTATACTTAAAAAATGAGTAAACTCTAAGCATCCAGCTGTGTGGGGGTGGGATAGGGGGGAGTGAGGGAGATGCTGTCCACAAAAGGAGAGTAAATTTGTACCCAGTTACCTACTAACATCGTACGCCGAACGCAGTGGAACGGCACCTTAGATGCTAGAGGGAGTGTGCTGTTCACATTTTACAGCCAGCGGAGACGTCATTGCCTGAAAGGGCAACAGAAGGATCATCTTTGACATTGAATGACCCGCGAAACATCCCATTCATGTACTTGTCCTGAACAACAAAAATGCAAGGAGATCCAGAGCCAAACAAGTAATTAGAATTACAAACCCAATAGGGGAGGAAATCAAAATAGAGTATTTTTTTAAGTGGTATGGAATTACTTATGAATAACAGTTGTTAATACGGTAGTAAGCCATAATGTTAACAATAAATGATTCCTCAAAAAACTAATATAACAGACCAATAGTAATGGGAACCCACAATTATAAAATGCTTCAACAGTTTGACAGGCAGAAGGAAGACGAAGGAGTGCAAGGAGACTCGATGCTGTTTTAGGGTTGGCTTCTGTAAAGAAATCGAGGATGAAGAAAATTCTAAGTTAAGCAGTACTAGTGTGGAAATGAGATGAAAAATTTCTTGGCCACGAGTCGGGATAGAACATCTTAATATGGCTAAGGAGAGGGTGGTAAGGAGAAAACAATTTGGAAGCATAAAAAGCAGAATATAGTTTAAATTAAAACCGAACATATTCATTACCACACAGTAACAACCCTATTCTATTAGGAGA